GAGGTGGCGGAGGCGGAGGGGGCGGCCTGAGCCCTGCGCGCCCTGGCCTCTGCACGGCTGTCGGGACAGAGGCTCCCGCTGTGCCTGTGGCCCTGTCCTCTGATGGAAGTGGGCCATGCACGCTGGGGGTGGCACCCCTGCCAGGCCGCACTCCAACCTGCCTGCAAGCCCGTCTCCTGAGGGCACAGGCACGTGACCCAGGTCCTGGCCCCGCATCCCAGAAGACTGAACTTTGGTCCAGGAGTTGGGAGCCCATCTAAGGTAGGCGCCTGACGGCTGGGGCTTCCTTGTCACGTCTCAGACCTCGCCACTGCCCCTCCCACGGTCCTGGGGTTCCTGTTCCCTCCTGGAGAGACTGGTGCTTACCAATTAATCTTTGCAAAGGAGGTAAAAACAAGAACCAGGGTCGGAGGAATTGACAGATTGAGGGCCATCCGTGCGTGTCAGTAGAGCTGTCCTCTCCTCCGAGGGGCCTCCAGCTGGGATGTGTTAACCACTGATAGGCACCGCGGAGTGTCATGGGTTAGGCATCTGTCGGCTATTACAGAAGGATGAGTCTTTCTGCTCCGGTAAAAACTTACAGCCTTGGCAACCGGAGGGCAGTTCAGCTCCATCCCACATGGATGCTCTGGGTCCGAAGGGGCTGCATGAGTCCCTTGTTTCAGGGCTCCAGGTCCTCTGTCCGGGCTTGCCAAAGGCCTCAGACTTTTGGAGTGAGATTTATACAGAAAACTGCCAGCCTTGAATTCTATATTTGAGTCAAAATATCTTTCAAGCATAAAGGCAACATTTGAACCTGATCACACAAAGAGGATTCAAAAACAGCCAACTTTCACTATAGAAACTATTTTTTTAAACAAGTTCTTCAGGCAAAAGGAAATATGAATCTACAGCAACTAAACTGAAGTGTGTTGGAATGGTAAATGTGGGTAAATGGAAGAGACTTTGTTCCCTCTTCATATTTTTAAAACAATTGAGTTTCTTAGAAACCTACAACAATAAATCACATGACCCAGCAATCCTATTCCAAGTGAAGTGAAAACCTACGCTCCCACGGAAGCTTATTGGCAAGTAGCCACAGTGGCTTTATTGGTCCTTGGAAAGAACTGGACACAATGCACTGCCTCTCACCTGGATAAACAACCTGTGCCATAGCCTCACACTGGACCAACTGACACACGCCGTAACATGGATGGACCTCGGGTGTGTGGAAGACACCCGACTTCATGTACTGCATGCGACACGGTCCCATTTCTACCTTTCTGCAGAGCTGACACCAGACAGGAAACAAAGTGGGTGTGGGGCGCAATAGGTCATTTCTAGATGGCTTGTCTAGTTTAACAGGTCCCACGAGAAGACTAGATGAGACTATGCAAATAAGGTGCTTCTGACCCAGCAAGAGGATCGGACAGCTTGCTGCTAATACAAATAAGGTTCATGGGACACTTACAGGAGTGGGACCATGCAAGTATGTGTGGAACCGTTCCAAGGGGACTGGTCAGTTTTGCCATCCCCCTAGGCTTCAAATGATCCATCCCAGAGGCGTGAGAAAAGCTGAGTTGTGTCCTTTCAAGGATTTAGGGCTCCTGTCCTGGGAGCCTCCTGGAGGCAGTTGTAACACTGGAGACAGTGAGAACTACAGAAATAGTTGCTGAACCAGGTGAGTTAAGGGACACTGGGTTGCCTCCAAGCCTACAGAGAGCTGGGTGCCTTAGGGCAGGAGGTTTGCTGGTGGCGTTAAGTGACTCCATGTACTTATGGGCAGAGCTAATGAGTTTTGTTTACAGTTACCTGATCAGGAGGTGGGCTGGCCCAAGAGGTCAAAAGGGCCAAGGGCCAGAGAGAGGCCTGTTTCGGCTGAGAAGCTATTTTGATTCAAGAACAATTATCTTGAGTCCTATCTGATCCTGAATTGTAACTGGTTATTTCTCTAATAAATCCCATAATCATGAGTACAGTCTGTGAGTCCTGGGTGGTCATTATCAATGCTAATGGAGACTGTTCTAGGAAAGACAGGTGATGTCAGACCTGGTGAACATTTTGGAGTAAGACTGACCTCCACTTCACAGGGCTCTGCCTTCAGGTGATGTTGATGGGAATTCCCCTCCCTTTTCTGAAGACATCGGACTCCTTGTAGTTTGGTACAGGTGCCAGGTGGGAACTCATTGTGATTTGGATATGCATTTTCCTCAAGAATAATTCTAACTTTTTTGGTTTAGTAGCCATTTGTGTGTCTGCAATAGTTCTGAGACTCAGAACCTTTGTCCATTTTTAAAAACTGGGTTGCCTTTATTTTTTCCTCTCAGTGCCTTAGTCTTGAGACAAGACCCTTATCCCTGCAAATATTTTCTCCCGTCTGTGGGTTATCATCTCACTTTCATAGTTTTAATACACGTTTCTCTTAATGCTTGGGTTTTGGCATCACAATCTACTCCACCATCAGGAGGGCTTCCTTTCTCCTATTTTTTCCTAAGATTTTTATTATTTTGGCTTACATGAGATCTTTGATCCATTTTGAGTTCCTTTTTGTATATGGTGTGAGGAAGGGCTGCAACAGTAGGCTTTTTGTATGTAAATATTTAATTATGCCAGCATCATGTAAAATATTCTTCTTTCCCCCACTGAATTGTCTTGGCACAATTCTTCAATTGTGTAGACATTTGTCTGGGGACTCTCCATTCCAT